GAATTCAATGAGGAAGGTTTTGCAGGATCAGGGAATAAAGCAGGCACCCATAAAACATAGGTGTAACAGACAAACAAGGGGGTAAGATGAGAACGGATAAGGATTAAATCAAGTAAAAGTGATAGGAATCATTCACTGGTGGAACTCTGGATTTACTCTGGGGTAACTCAGAGCAGAATTTGGCTCCAGGCCAAGACTGGAAAAAATGAAACCCATCAAATGAAACCCATCAAATGGAGATGGTGGAGACTGTGAGTTAAAGAGGAGAGATTGTCCAAGGTGTTTGTTCCTTGTCTCCTCAGAAAACAAGCTAGAGGCCAACCCCACCACACTGAAGTTAATGGAGTTTTCTCATTGACTTCAGTAGGAATAGGGTTGATTCTTAAGGGTATGTCTACACTGCAATTAGACACCTGCAGCTGGCCCAGGCCAGCCAACTTAGGCTCACAGAGCTTGGGTTAAGTGAGGGGCTGTTTAATTGCAGGGTAGACATTCGACTCAGGCTGGAGCCCGAGCTCTGGGACTGCCCCATGTTGTTAATTAAACATCCCCTTAGTCTGAACCCCATGAGCCCAAGTCAGTTGACATGGGCCAGCTGCGAGTTTTTAGTTGCAATGTAGACATACCCTAAGTGGCCAGATGGCCAATGTAAGCTACTTGTTCCAAAGATTATTGAGAGTCAAGTGTCAGTCATTGGCCCCAATGTAATCTCAAATATATATATATAATCAAATAAAATGATTGGGCCAAATCCTCAGCTGGCAAAAATAAGTGCAGCTCCATTGACTTCAGTGGAGAAATTCTGAATTGCAACAGCTGAAGTGCTATGTGGCCAACTATTTTTAAATTATGGACCTGATTCTCCTTTCAGTTACACTGGTGTAAATCAGGTGTAACTCAGTGGAGCTGGACCTGTGTAAATTTGGTGGAAGCCAGAACAGAATCAGGCCCTGAATCTTACAAGCACAGTTTAGAGAACTTGTTTTGCTAAATTTACAAACCACTAGAAAATCGCGGGTTCTATATTTTGAACATAACTCAGAACTGCTGAGGTTCTAGTTTCATTTCACTCTTGCAAAACATGAGTTCTGGGCAGATGCAACATTGGAAAGCAAATGTTTTCCCCGGGTCTTCCTAGAAACAGAGCAGTAATTACCTTCCAACGAGATTCTTTATTATTTGTACAGCACAGGTTTCCATTCGGTTAGAAATACATTTATTTGTTTTTAAAATTAAATTTCCCTTGAAAAACAATGGTTTAAATTAAGAGAAAAATATTTTTGAAACTTAAAAAAGTTTCACGAAACTCAGTCCTTAAACAAAGTTCTAAAGGTTTTGCAAACCCATAAACACCACAGGGTTCTCCCACTCCTAATTATATATATTTAGATTTTGGTGTTCATTTCCTCCTATTGAAATACACAGGTTGAATTATTCGTCCAATGCATACAGGGTCATGGAATATAATCCCTTCCATTTATTTGTAAGTGAATGTAGGGCTTGTAAGAAGTGCCGGATTGACAGATGGAGATTCAAGCTCTCTGTTAACCCATACAATGCAGAATACAGGCAGCATCAATGAAAGCTTCCTCTCACTGCCCCACCTATGTGCCTCAAACCTAATTTGGAGGGTAGACCTGTTTCCATGACAGTTTGGTCCTTGGTTTCTTTGCTGAAACTTCGGATTAGAGTGCCAATTAGTGCCTACTGTGATGATGGTTTTGTGAGATAAAGACTGGTTAGTTAGGAACTAAAATGAGGCCAATTCATTTAATCAAAGAGTCATCAGATGATAACAGTTTTTCGGTCATTATCAACCCCTAGGAAAGATTTTAACTGGTGACCAACAGGTGAAAGGCTCCATATTGGACTACAAGTCACTACTGCAATTACATTTTAAATCCCAAAGCAATGTATTTGGGTAATATTAAAATATATCAAATAATCAGTGGTGGGGTTTAAGAAAAGGGGTGGGGGCATGCAGGCTTAATTTGACATATACAAAATCAGGGTATATTTTTATTATTTATCTTTTATAAAAATGAATGAATCTGTAGTTAAATTTTGTTAATGAACCACCCAGGTAAAATATGCAGTGTAATTCAATAAAAGGCTGGAACCCTTCCAATAATTAAAATCCGTGGCTGTCTGTTTTATTCACTGGCATGGTATCATGCTAGGGAAGGCCAATGTAAAGGATATGTAAGAAAATGAAATGTGTGCATTTGGGCCTAAGCATTTATCAAAAAGACATGCAGTCACCTATCCTTGAATAATACCTGACAAACTTATTTTAATGACATGTGGCATATTTTATTTGGTTCCAATTCTACTTACAATGCCAGATTTGCCTCACACAATACACAGTATTCAGTTCTGGAGTGCCAGTCCAGACAAAATTCTCACTGACTTCAATTACAATTTTGCCTAGGCAAAGCCTGTAGGACTAGACCCAACAGACAGTGGTTCTTGAAGACCAAAAGTTACACTGCTACCAAGCATAATTATTTTAATGGTGTCTGAGTGGTGTGAAAAGAATCATTGTCATTGTAAATCAAACAGCGCATTAATATGGAAATGACAAAGTATCAGAGCACATCTTTGAATGCCACCTTTGAATTCTAATCACCTCTCCCCCCCCCGCCCCCAAATAAGATAATGCCTCATGCTGTAGAATCTTCAACATATTTTAAGAGGCACAAAGAGAAGCAGCCAGTGTTTGAGACATTCTCTGAGAACATTCTACAGAATTATATTTTGTACAGCAGATTATAAACATTCTATTGTCTTCCTTCCTTCACAAAATTGGAGCCCAGTTGTTCCCCCAGACCTGCACACTATTGGGAATCTGACTTGGCTTGTGCAGAAGGTGGCAGAGGGGAGTGAAGTGGGGGATTGGTGGGAGACACCCGTCACCCTCCAAAATCTGTGGGGAATCCTTGAAAAGGTAATATAGACTTTGGTGGTATAACTTCTGCACAGAGCCACTCATACTTTTAAAGGGGAGAGTTCCAGAGGAAGCCCCCTGGACTTCCATAGCAGTGCAGCTTCAGCTGTACTGACTGGGGACTTGTGAGGGACTCACTGGGTTCCTGAGCCAGTACAGAGGCATAGGATATCCATGGTTTGTGGTTTCATGGGAGTTGAGGGATGGATGCCCTGGTTTTTCCATGTGGTGGGCAAGCCCCACACGCTCATCAGAAGAATTCAGAGGAAACTCCATGAGGGACAATTCTCAGAGCTCTTCTACCCCCTGGATCCCTGTCAGGCACAATTTCCTTCCCCCATTTTATAGTCACATTATGTATCTTTGTGTTTCAGAGCTTTATAATACGTATCTAAGGGCTCCCCTGCCTGTGTCACTCTGGCATGGTGAAGTGCTTTCTGTTACCTTTAGGAAAAGCCCAAGAACCTGGTACAGAAGAGATTTTTATAACACCAGAGCAGGCATTGGAGCCCTCAGATATCAAAACATTAACTGGGGCTGAATTTCAGATCAAAATTTAGATTTGGAAAAAAATGGCAAATTCAGTTTCAGTTAAACATTTATAAATTTGAAAAAAACAATGTTATTTCCACAGCTGTATAATTTGTGTTAATATGCCTTTTAAATACACAAGGCTGGATTCCTCTCTCTCATGCTGGTTTTACTGCTGTAAAACTTTAATTTGACTTCAGTGGATTCACTCCTGAATTTGATTAATGTAAAAGGCAGGAAAATCAGTCCTAATGGGGTTACATTGGTGCAAAATATATATATGTGAGATCATAACCAGACCTTTACAATTTAGAAAGACCTAAAATGTGGATATAAATCTGAAATTTGGCCAGATGAAATCCAGAGAAGAGAAAAATAGGCAAAGTAGAAATTAACATTATGTGAACTTTTATCCAAAACAAAAGTCTGCCCCCTTTCTTACATCTCTGTTACACAGCTTGGCCCTAATTCTGCAAAGGAGCTTAACTTTAAGCCTGTGCTTAAATCTAATTGCAGTGAATTGAAAAACAACACATGCTTACTCGCTTTGCTGAATTAGGACTCTATATGCAGTGCCCTTATATTCGAATAGAAAACTTCCTTCCTGAAAAAAATAACACTGACACATAAAATAGTACTACATGAATCAAAACCTGAGCAAGATAAATGACTTTGCTTTGCATGTACTCTGATAAGGAGGGATCTGCAGTGTGTGAATTAAAACATTGACCATTTTTTCATTTAAAAAGCGTGGCATTCCCTTGTGAATTCCTCCTGTGACAGACTGAATGTCTCTCCCTTTTTATTTTAAATAGAAATTCTTACCATCAGCCATAAGTGCTGGAACTAAGGGAGCTGTCACACCCCCGGGCTTGAGTGATTTCCATCATACACATGGTTTACAGTTTGGTTCAATGGCTTTCGGCACTCCCACTATAAAAGTTGTTCCAGCACCCCTGCCATCAGCCTATATAAACACCTAGGAAAAATGGTAAGGCTCTTGCAAGTGCCCTGTAATTGTTCTGCTCACAAAAGTCCCATTGAAGTTCATGGGAGTTATGAGTAAAGATAATTTGCAAGAGCAGATCCCAAAGATGTAGAAGCAGGCTTAAAAAGACACCATGAATAATAATACTATGCACATAGATATCACTTTTCAGCCATATATCTAAACATACTTTACAAAGGCGGGTAAGTATAATTATCCCCATGTTCCAGATGGGAAAACTGAGGCACAAAGGGTGAAATCTGAATTCAATGGGAATTTTGCTATTGACTTGAATAGGACCAGGAGTTCACCCAAAGCAAGCTGATGTGAATTGTCTAAAGTCACACAGCAAATCAGTGGTAGAATCAGGTAGGTATAGAACCAAAATCTCTTTATTCTCTGACTCCAGTATCCTGCCCACTGGCTATATAGACATGTGTACAAATTCATGATTATTAGGAGTTCATTCTTTCTGAAGCAGAAAAAAATGTATCTTTATATTTTAGAAACTTTTTTTCCCTCTTTCCCTTTCAGGCACCAAATGGTCTTCCAACTGTCAGTGGTTTTGTCTCAGCACCAACTATGGCGCCTTACCCTACACCAGCCCAGGTGTCACCTTACATGACATACAGTGCTGCCCCTTCTGGTTATGTGACAGGCCATGGTTGGCAGCATGCTGGAGGCACTCCGCTCTCCCCTCACAACTGTGATATTCCTGCGTCGCTGGCATTCAAGGGCATGCAGACAGCCCGAGAAGGTAGTCACTCTGTCACAGCCTCTGTTCTCTGATATGAAATTCATTCTAGAACAACTCAACCTTTTTCCTCCCCTCCCTGGCTCAGAGACTGATCTTTTGTGTTGGTGACATTTACAGATTTCTCCCCCTGACCTTTCTCCCACAAAATTTTTGGATTGAACTAGCCAAAACAACTTAAGAAACTGATCCATGGGTTGTTGCCCTTGCACTGTTTTAAGTAAAGAAGATCTTACATCCCTCAAAGGGCTCATGGGACTTTCATTGGTAAAACCACCCATATTTATTCTAAGTCAACAAAAACTCTTTAAATGTGCAATTGTCATTGAGATTGTGTAAAAATCAATAAAGAAAAATCAATAGGGAAAGATATGTTATGCCTCTAATCAACAAAAGTGGCCAAACAGAAGCTATTTGCTGATGATCTGTCTCTAGAGAACAAATCCTTTATCGGCGAGGTCAAGTGATCCACTGTTATTGTTAAGATATTGCTCTTTTTTGTTTGTTTATCAAGGCAATATGTGGTTCTCACATTCTTCCTGTATTTCATCCTGTTACAAAAACAGTAAGGTGTTTGTATTTTCTATCTATTTGTAAATATAAGCTTTGGACAGCATTCGTGTTTCCATTCCACAGTACATTTCTGCTTCTTTTTTGATGTTAAAAAGTGACTTTCTAGGTCGTTTCTGTTTCTTGCTTGGTGGTGGCAAGAGCCTTAGGTACCTGAGGTTGAGACAGTTCTTTTGGTATGTTTTGTGCATACAGTGGAGGCTTCAACATCTTAAGAAAGACATTTTGTTTCTTCTGCAGAGGACTCAAAGGCAATTGACCAAATAACTCTCCCAAGTCATACCCATCTCCCAGAGTCATGACACAACCACACATGTGCCAAGTGTACAAAAGAGAAGCAGGTGGAAAATAGCTGAACAAAACCAAGAACTGTAGAGGAAAGTGATTTAGAAGCTTAAGTTTAATGTGAAATTTAAGTTAACAAAACCACTGTGAAACAAAACTGTACTGTCATTGTTGGCTTCCCCGTGTTCAGCAATTTCAGCCCCAAGATTATGTTGTAACTTTTTTAACAGAAAAAGCTGTCTTAAAATTTCTGCTTTAATGAATGTAAAAATGGCTCCCGGTAAAGTTTACATTGTTGTACATAAACACGTCTCACTCGTAGGTATACTGGTGGTGGTCTGACAAATACAAATTTATTTAATGTTAAACTCCCTTTTGGCATTTCTGTATCTACTGGCAAGCATTCTGTCCCAATAATTTTGCTTTAAATTTTTCTACCTGACATTAACCCCCCAAAAGCTAATATTTTGGTCTTTTCAAACTTACCTGTTTTCCATGGGCAATAATAAAGTTCTGAATATTACTCCAATAAGTCTTCCACATGCTTCCAGACATGTGTGGAACACATGCATGAAAGAGAAAGATTTGAAAATTGGTGTGACATTTCATATCCTTAATAGAATATTAATATATTGTGTACTTTTAGAATTCTTGTGCAATAACTTAAAAGAACATCACTAGATATAGACTTTAAAAGACTGCATTAATTACATCATCTTGATTTCTTCTTATCTATATTAAACATTGTTTCAATGGCACAATAAAATCCAGTACCTACTATGGGAATTTCAAGCTTTATTTATAACTCAGATGGCCATAGGCAGATTTCCATGGCACTGTAAAGGAAATAATGAGTAAATAGTTACATATGCTTTATGATCAGCAATCCTACACAGAGGTACATACTCTGAGTAGTTCATTAACATCAATGGGATTGTTCACAGTGTTTAGGTCTTTGCAGGATCGGGGCCTAACAAGCAGCTTGAAACTCTGTGGAAAGCTTTCAGAAAAACATATTTCCACAGTAACCATTTGTAATTTCATAAACAAGGACTACAGATTAGGAAGAATCAGCAGGGCAGATGGACTCTAAGGGCTGTATTTAGCTTTGATCTTTGCATAAAAAGCCAGTTGAATCATTAGGACTTCTACACACAGAACACAGATATAACCTGGCCCTAAAGAAACAAAGATCCTGGAATTCAGCAAAACGTCCACTGAGTTAGGCCCCAATTCAGCAAAGGACTTCAGCAGTTTATCTTTAACAATGTGCTTAAATCCATCTCTATTCAGAAAAGCATTTGAACATGCACTTAATTTTAAGCACATGCTTAAGGTCCACTGAAGGCAATGTGATTTAAACATATTCGTAAGTGCTTTGTTGAATTGAGAGGGCTTGATTCTGCTCTCATTCGTACCATTTTTACATTGGTAAAACTCTAGTGACTTAAATGGAATTATTCCATATTTATGCCATTGCAGCTGAGGTCAGAATCTGGCTGAGAGATCCTTAATTCCATGTTAAAGATAATGGCATCTTAATTACAGGCAAACTCCCTGTTAAAAAACTAAAAGGGAGAAGAAAAAAATAGGAGAAAATGATTAATAAAAGATTTTCTTGGCAACATGTCATATTTTCCAAGTTTTTTAACTTTTAAACTAATTCTTAGACAAGATACTATAAACATTGAATTAAGAAGCCCATCTGTAATCAGCAACATACTAACAAAAACAACGCCCAAGAAAGGAAGACAAAAAGAGGATAAGCCTTCCTGAACTACAGATTTTCCATCCCAAAGCATTAACAGGTCTGTGATAAAAATGCCCTTGTTTCAAAAGGCTGATACTCTTCCTTTTCTGATCCATAGAGTCCAAGATGGTGTCCCAGTTGAAATAAGAATCTGCTTTCTTGTGACTCTCATGAGGCATGAGTGTGTCTTTAAATTATACTTAAAGGGTCAGATCCTCAGATCCTGGTCTAAGCTCTGTTGACTTCAGTTGAGGATATGGCCCAAAGTAATTATTCCTTGTGTGGAAATGCAACTTAATGACAAACTTTCCCCCCTGTATCTGCATTCTTTTGTTTAGGGCCAGATCTCGATACATTTACTCACAATGAATAATACCTTACTCTGTGAGTGGGAAGTCAGTAGGACTATATGTGGAGTAAGGTGCTACTCAAGGTGAGTAAAGATATCTGATGTTGATCCATATTGAGCTATTTATAATTGCTTCTTGGGGTGCGAGGGAGGTTAACATGTCTTTTAATGTAAAATTACCATGCAGAATTTTTCTTTGTCCAAGGACTTTTCTTACAGAATATACATATTGGTTAAACTGAAAGATGGTACATATTAGCTTAATGACATAACACCTTTAAATCACTTTTAAAAACTAAATCCCCATTTTTATTTTATTGATAAATGGGTCAAAGTCTGTTCTCAATTGCACAGATGTAAATCTGGAGTAATCCAGGTGGAGTTAATATGGATTTACACCAGCAGAAATGAGAGCAGAATTTAGTCCTCTAATAGTCAACAATATTTCCGCACGCTATGCACATGAAGGGCCCAATCCTGCATTCTCAGAGTACCCAAATCTTTCAAAAATCAATGAGACTTAATACTTGTTTATACTATGTTTCCAGAGTGGAGGTGTAAAATGTCCTTAGTGCAAATGAGAAGCCTAGTGGAGCACCAGGAATAGTGAATAGTGTGGGCTTGAAGAGGTTAAAAAGACACATTTGAGAAAAAAAAAAGATTCCATGTTTTCTGCGAATGGTCCTCATTTTATCAAAAGATCAGGCTGAACTATAAGTAAAACTAATAAATCATGTTGAAAAGGATGTACAACAGAAGGCTGTGTATGTATATACTAAATGTTAAAAGCCTTTTATTTTTATATTTTGAATGCTCTAAATTAATAAAAGAATAATTATAATGTATTTTGTTTTTCTTTTTTCAAAATGTTCCAAGCACTCACTCTTACACTGCGTATGGGTTGATGATAAAATGATCAAATGAGGAATACTTGCCTAGGAATTGTAATAAAAGTACAAAAAGGAACATATCTTTTTTTTGTTGGCTTTAGCTACTGAAGTAACACAGCTTTGAGATGTCAGTGTGGTCAAATCCAGACAAAAGAGACATTTTCTGTGTGCATGTCAGTACAAGAATGTTTGAAAATGCTGAGAATGCATTTCTATTCTAACTTTTTTCCTTTTATAAGTGCATTTTTTTAAAACATTGCAGACACCAGACTTCACACCTGAGTTGTCATTAAAAAAAATGATCTGGAAAGATATTCTTCTAGGATTGCTGAAGAGAAAGTTTTGTAATTATCTAGGAGGAAGAACATCTAATGTTAGCCAGTACAAATAATGTGTATGGTGATAACATAAATATTTCCAGCCATTTAAAAATATATAGGCAATAGTCAGCAAAACAGGACTAGATAAAGGTAATTGTTTATTGTGAAAGAAATACAGCTCTTCGAGTATTTAAGAAGACAGCATTTGAACATCAATAGAAAGGTGGTACAGTACATGAAGTTAGACTTTGTCTTCAATAAACATGACAGAAATTTAGTATATCCTATTTCAAACGGCAATTTAAAACAGAAAAAAGTAGGAAAATGTATTTGAAATATGAGCTAAGTTATACTGAATATCTGAGAAAGCAAACATGTTTAACTTCATAACAATGTTCGGTATTTATTTTTCAGAAAGGCTTATGGTTATCTAATTAAGACTACATATGGGATATCAGTATAGAACACTGTTTCTTAACCCCAAGGGGGTCACGATAGGCAGTCAGGGTGGTCATGAGGTGTTGAAAAATGTATTACAATCTAAAGAAAAGAAAATCTTGCTACCCACTCCTCACGCACCTTTACCCTTCAAGGTCAAGTATTCTCTGTCAACTTCTCGAAAACACACACACACACACACACATATACACCGAAAATGAATTATATAGGCTTACTGATATATTTTTTATTCTCACATTTACAGCAAATAAAAGGGTGTTCATACATTTTTCTCTTGTATGTTTTTATTTGTTTTTTTAAATCTGGAAATAAAAACACTTAGGGTGAAATGTTGGCCCCACTGAAATCAATGGGAATTTTGCATGACTTCAGTGGGGCTAGGATCTCACCTCTGAACATTTTTGTGTAGTTTTCAAATGATTACTGTTGGGCAGGAGTCAATGGGACTACTCATGTGAATAACTACTCACAATGTAGGGTTCACAATCTGGCCTTATACGTCCAAAATGAATTAAATTGCCTGTTTGTTTATTGTCTACTTCACTGACTTCTATGGTTGTTGTACACTTTTATGTGAGGACAGAATTTAGGTAAATTGAATTATGCTCATCATCTTTCTATGACATGTTTGAAATAAGGATAATATTCAATGTATAACTGAGACTATGCAAAAAGAACAGGAGTACTTGTGGCACCTTAGAGACTAACAAATTTATTAGAGCATAAGCTTTCGTGGACTACAGCCCACTTCTTCGGATGCATATAGAATGGAACATAAATTGAGGAGATATATATACACACATACAGAGAGCTCAAGCTCATGCTTTCTGTATGTGTGTATATATATCTCCTCAATATATGTTCCATTCTATATGCATCCGAAGAAGTGGGCTGTAGTCCACGAAAGCTTATGCTCTAATAAATTTGTTAGTCTCTAAGGTGCCACAAGTACTCCTGTTCTTTTTGCGGCTACAGACTAACACGGCTGCTACTCTGAAACCTGAGACTATGCAGAATGTTTGGCAGTAGGTATTATTTGAGGTATGGGGGCAATCCAGCCATCCTTTTCCAAGCATCACTCCCATACTGTGTTAGAACAGTATGATCAGACCCAGGATTTACTTCAGATTTGCAAAGCATGGGCCAGGTCCTCAACTTGAAAGTCAATGGCGCCATGACAATTTACACCAGCGTAGGATTTGGCCTCCTCATGATTAATGAACTTTTCCTGCTGAGTTCACCTATCAAGAAACTTAACCTGACATTTTAACAACCACTAGTTAAAAAAATGATGCATTTACCACTAGTTAAAAAATTGATGCATTTACTAAATGACATAATTTACTGTCCATTACATTTAGTTTGTTCTTGAGAAATTAACTTGTTCCCATGTTACCATTTTTTCTTGATCACTAGGGGCCTGATTCAGCAAAGCAAAGGAGCACATCAGTGCTTAAAGCTAAGGCTGTGCCAAAATGCGCTGCTGGATCAGGGCCATAGGGCTCAATCCTGCAAACTGATGAGTGCCTTCAACTCTCATTCCTATCAAAGAGAACTGTAGCATGAGTGCCTCTTATATTTTGCTTTACTCATGTCCTTTATATCATAACATGTTACATATCAGGTACATAATTTCAAATAGTACATTGTTTTAGAAGCAGTACTTCTGATCACCAGTTCTCCTGAAGCCATGCATAAGCATATTCATAAACCAAAAGCATCACTGCACCACCTAGAAAAGAGGACATTATCTTAAGTATCAAATTAGATCCCTTCGATATTTTGCAGGACATGTATTGTGTCATTTCTCCTGCACTGAAATTGTAAATTGAAATATAATGAAACTGTATTAGCAAAAACTCTCTGGATTCTACCCAATCACCAGTTAGAACATAAGAACGGCCGTACCGGGTCAGACCAAAGGTCCATCTAGCCCAGAATCCTGTCTACCGACAGTGGCCAATGCCAGAGGGAGTGGACCTAACAGGCAATGATCAAGTGATCTCTCTTCTGCCATCCATCTCCACCCTCCTAAACAGAGTCTAGGGACACCATTCCTTACCCATCCTGGCTAATAGCCATTAATGGACTTAACCACCATGAATTTATCCAGTTCTCTTTTAAACGCTGTTATAGTCCTAGCCTTCACAACCTCCTCAGGTAAGGAGTTCCAAAAGTTGACTGTGCGCTGCGTGAAGAAGAACTTCCTTGTATTTGTTTTAAACCTGCTGCCTACTAAAAACAGTTCTTAAACTATATAAAATTTACCTAACACTGGAACACAAAGTCAATGTGAAAAGCTTGTAAATTAAATCAAGAGCACCCTTGCTTTTAAATGCAATTTTCTTACATATTTTTCATACTTTTTTCTAAAAATTTTCAGCAGATGTTTATTTTATTTTTTTAGCTATGGTACAGACAAAACTCTTGATCTGCAAAATATATATAGAGAGAGGGAGAAAGATTTGGACATGAAAAGAATTGAATGAAATGACACAAATTCTTCATTAGAATTATGAAAATCCTTGCAAGTAAGATTTGAAAAGGCTGATCAAATGTTTTGTTTGAAAATTGGGTTGGATGGTTGTACAGGACCTGTAATTTGAAAATCATTATACCGGAATTGAATCTAGTCTTCCCACAGTTATATCTCGTGAATCCACAGGCAAAATGTGGGGTTAATGGATTGATACTGGTAGAATCAAAAGTGTGACTAAACCTCAGCACTAATGCAATGAGGGAACTCTGATCTGACAGAAACAAGTATGCCATTCTAAGGGCTGGTCCCCACTTAGTCCAGACTTCGGACTAAGGTACGCAAATTCAGCTACGTTAATAACGTAGCTGAATTCGAAGTACCTTAGTCCAGACTTACCGCGGTCCAGACGCGGCCGGAAGTCTCCCCCCGTCGACGCCGCGTACTCCTCTCGGCGAGCTGGAGTACCGGCGCCGACTGTGAGCACTTCCGGGATCGATCCGGGATCGATTTATCGCGTCTTAACCAGACGCGATAAATCGATCACAGAACATCGATGGCGTGCCGCCGGACCAGCCGGTAAGTGAAGACTAGGCCTAAGACTGGGCTATAATTATTATGCAAGTTAAATAAATAGACCCGACACAGTTTCTAACAAGGTTGATCTTCAGAAGGCATATATAGGCCTCTGCATAGCATATAAAGAGGCCTATACATTGGGGAAATTATGAAAGATAATTGAAAGGTTCTACCCAATACGAGTAAATGTAGCCCAACCTCGATTGTAATAACCGAGTAGGGCCCAAAGCTTTTCTTTTTTCCCTAATTTTGCCTGTTGGATCAGATAGCTTAATTAGAATGCAGCATCTCTGAAAAAACAAATAAAAACATCTTCTAATGAACTGAGCTGACCTTTCTGTTCCCATGGGATAGGATCAGACAATCAGGGACATAGAAATGCCATGTGACTTATTCCAGCAAACCATGCTCAGACTTGAAATACACTACAAATAGCAGCCTAATAAAGTTCACAGATAGTCAGATTGGGGGGAGAGGGGGGTAGAGATAGAATTGCAAAAGGCTTTCACAGACAGTTTGGCAAAGCCTTACTCATTCGCAGATACAGTTTGAACTCACACAGGGCTGATTTCAAGTACTTAGATAGTGTGAGATTTTTTGTACAGTTCTCTTACTCAAACTATTTATGCTGTAGACAGATGGACTTACCTTTTCAGCCACAATTAAAATTGTTTTCTTATTTCATTCAGACAGCAAAATCTATATATTAGTCAACGGGACTACTCATGGGCTTAAAGTTAAGCACATGCTTAATTGCTTTGCTGGATCTGGGGCAGAGTGGCCAGCACCTTCTGGAATCAAGGCCTTCATTACAAACTTAGCTGTGCTGGCTGGGACAAGGAAAGCGGGGATCTTCCTCCTTCCTGCCCATTGTGGGTGTATTAGGAAGAAGAAGGCTATGTGCTCCCTGGATTGTGTCTGGATTCCCTGTGTCCCACCCTTCTCTGAAACTGCACAAAGGGCAGGCATTGTCTAGCTTTTGGCTGGAGAAAATCCATTTACAGGAACACGCAAGCATTTACAGGAAAATTTCATACTTTTTTATAATGAAAAACACGAAACACAGGCAGAAGAGATCCTGTTAACAGACACAGTTACCTATTGGCTTTTAAATCTGTGTAACCTTTCCTCTTAAACCACCTACTCCAACTGGAAACACTTATTTACATAAGAATAAGATTCTGGTCTATTTGCGGTACCTGCACTCTCAGCCATGCAGTGCCCGCTTGGAATGGCAAAACTCAAAAGGCCCCAGGTCTGTTCAAACTTACACTCTGTTTCCCATTGTTCCTTACAGGCATTGGAAGCAGAAAATAACTAGAGTACGGTGCACTTTGGCTCTGCCTCTACATGCCTCTGCTTCACCCCCCATACTAGGCTGGTGTAGAGCCCTTATGCCCATACTGCCCTCACTAGGGAGGCTCCCTGCACAAAGGGTGTTCTCAGGGAGCCACTTATGCCAACTTTAAGGCACCTTTACACTACCAAAGAACATGAAGTAGCCTTACTGTAACAGAATCAGGCCCAAGGAGTGGGGGACTAACACTAACAGTTCCTATAAGCATATCCTTCAAAGGTCTTCAAAAGTGTGCCTGAAAAATATGCGGATACATCCATTCGCACATACAACTAAACCCCCTCTTGCCTCATGATTTGTTCACAGATCAGGCATCTGCATGCACCAGTAGGTAGTTGCGTGCACAGGATTCCAATTTAGACATGCAAATGTGCTTTTTTGAGGGCAAATTTAGCCCAACAAATCCAAATGTTTTTTTTAATCAAACTAAATAAATAAATAATGTAAATATTAAGGGACAGATTTATGTACAGTATTTCATTTGTTTAATTGTTATCTGTTGGGTCTTAAATTTAAATGGAAACAGGAAATAGAAACCAAGAATAAAGAAGAGACAAAAATAATGGAGGCAAAATTACCTGGGCCAAGCCTCATGATCTTGGGAACCAACCCTTTGTACAAAGCCAAAAACCTGTAGCAGAAAGAAAAAAAGTTTCAAACAATATTATTTTTCTACAAACAGAATGGAATTTTATCTTATGTTTGCTAAGATGCTGACATAGCACTTTAAAGCAATTATTTGGAATGACACATGTCCAATATCTACCCAATACGAGTAAATGTAGCCCAACCTCGATTGTAATAACCGAGTAGGGCCCAAAGCTTTTCTTTTTCCCTAATTTTG